TTTAATGAACTTTGACGGAATCATCTTCAGAGGGTTGGTGCAGTGTGCTCCTTGGAGACGCATAACTGAAGTCGCCAGTTTGTGGAGGGAAAGCTGGTCCTCATTAGCTGGGACAGCTGAGTGAGTGGCGGCTCGGGAACACGCGAGCCAGGGGTGCCCACCTGTGTCTCCCTCCGCAGGACCAGGCTGCATCTCCATCCTGCTGTGGAGTAAGCCCAGAGCTTTCATTAAAAGTGTCATTTGGCTTCCCCCAAGCAAGTGCTGATGGGCTGTCATGTTGCTATCTTGGGAGGAGTAGTGCTGACACCTACTAATAGTCTGACAAATGGCTAAGTAGCTGCTGCAGCCTGTATTGAGTCTTTAGCCTGGCATTCCTGCGCGTTCAGCGAGGGGCTCAGGTTCCTCTTCATGCTCACAACTGCTGAAGAGGAAATATGTCCGATGTGCTCGCCAAATACGTTCTAGAATAAAGTTGCCTTAAATAAGCAGCAGACTTTTGCATATGCAAAGCTTTTTAATTGTGGTATATATGTGTGTGTGTGTGTATATATATTTATATATATATTTATATGTGTAGATCATAACAAACTGTCACTGACTCTGAAGAATGGGAATCCCAGAACACTTGATCGTTCTAATGCGAAACTTATACTTGGACCAGGAGGCAGTCGTCAGAACAGAGCAAGGGAACACTGCATGGTTCAAAACTGGGAAGGGCGTGCGCCAGGGATGCATCCTATCTCCATACCCTTTCAACCTATATGCAGAACAGATTATCCGGGAGGCTGGGCTCTATGAGGAGAATTGTGGGGTCAAGATTGGTGGACGATTTATCAACAATCTGCGTTATGTGGATGACACAACCCTGCTTGCTAAAACTGAGGAGGACCTGAAGCGCCTGCTGCAGAGTGTCAAGGACTGCAGCCTCCAATATGGATTGAGGCTCAATGTCAAGAAGACAAGATTGAGATTGTACACAGCTTTAGTTTGCTTGGCTCCATAGTCAACAGTCTTGGCACCAGCAGCCAGGAAATTAAAAGGCACATTGCCATGGGAAAGTCTGCTGTTAGGGACCTCTCCAAGGTGCTGAAGAGCAGTGGTGTCTCTCTGGAGACTAAGGTGCGTCTGATACAGGCCATGGTCTTCGCAATCACCTGTTATGCATCAGAGAGTTGGACAGTGACCAAGGAGGATAGAAGGAGAATTGATGCCTTTTAGCTGTGGTGCTGGAGAAGAGTATTGAGAATACCATGGACTGTTAGGAAAACAAATAGATTTGTCCTGGAGAGGGTTAACCCGGGTGGCTCCTTGGAGGCAAGGATTCTGAGGCTCCGTCTAACTTACTTTGGACATGTAGTGAGGAGAGACCGGTCCTTAGAGAGGGACATCATGCTTGGGAGGGTGGAGGGACGGCGCAGGAGAGGAAGGCCCTCTATGAGGTGGATTGATTCAGTGACTGGTATGATTGGGATGGGAGTGTCAGAGACAGTGCGATTGGCACAGAACAGAGCGGAGTTTAGGGCTGTTGTACATAGGGTCGCTGTGAGTCGCAGGCGACTCGACGGCACGTAACAACAACAACAAACATATATATATATATATATATTTATATATATATATATATTTATATATATATATAGAGAGAGAGAGAGAGCGCGAGAGCGCGCACGAGCGTGCAAGTAGTTTCTTTCAGCTTTCATCACATTTACAATATGGTGAAATTCTTTTTATTTGCCATGTTGTTCAGCTATTGAGAGTTTCTGTATCCTAATTTTCCTATCACCTTTAATAGAGGCTCTGTGTCTCCTGAGCAGGAAGCCCTTTCTCACTCCCCACCCTCCTTACTAACTCATTCCCTCACCCACTAACTCCTGATGAGTCATTTCTGACTTACAGGCCTTTGAGTTTCTGAAGCTATAAATCTTCATGGAATAATACTGTCCATTTTCTCTGTTGAAGCATCTGATGGATTTGAACAGCCAACCTCACAGCAACCAGGCATGTTATCCCACAAGCCACCAGGTCTCCTGCCACCCCTGGTTACAACTAATAAACTTTGGTCTCTATACACTTACATGTTCTATATTGTATAAGATCATTATATTGTATAAGATCGTATAGTCATTTTAATTGGAAGATTGGCTTATTTCACGCAGAATGTTTTCAGAGTCCTCCTAGGTTGGAGCATGTATCCAGACTTCATTTCTGTTTGTGACTAATTGGCCACTGTATGCATGTGGGGGCCTCAGGTGCGCAGTCTGGTTTTGAGCTCCAAATGCACAAGTCACCCCTCTCTGGAAGACTGAATGTGAGTCTGTTCCAGCTGGATTGCAATGTATTTTTTTAGTCTGTATCCTTAAGGTCTAAAGGTAGGAACCAGCTACATGTCCATCAATTAGTTTCTTTTTTGATTGGTGGTAGTGGTGGTTTGGTTTGGCTCCCCACCTTCTAAAGTCCCCACTATGGTTCAAGCATTTTCCACTGTTAGGTCTGGAGAGAGTAGTCAGATCCACTATCTCCCACAGAAGCTGCAAAGTCAGAATCCCCTCTCTATACTTGTACAGTTGGGGCCTGGAGCCTTGTCAGGTTATAATAGTTACGTGCTGCTTCAGAATCCTTTGTAACTGCACCAAATGAGGGAAAAACCAGAGTCAGGAGGACACGTATTGGAGGCAGCATGTTTCAGAGTCAGGAACTGTGCCTGGAATCCAGTGTCAAGAGAGTCTATGCCATACCAGACTTGTCCTGGGTTAGAATATTGAGTATTGACTGTGGTTCTTGTGCCTAAGGGTTTGTGTGGATTTTTTTGTTGTTACCAGTGATTTTGGGGCGCTGTAACCCCAAATACTTGCAGTTCAAACCCAGTTACTCTGTGGGAGAAGGATGGGTAATCTCTTCCCTTAAGATCAGCTGCCTCTGAAAACCTTCTAGAGGATTAGCTGCGGGCCAGTTCCAGCTTGACAGTACACAACAACAGTAACCTTCAAACCTAACTCCATAAGTCTTGGAATTGAATCTAAGACCAGTTTGATGTTATTTTAATACATTGCTACTGTGTCTAAACTTTGACGGGCTGTAACACAATTCATAGGTGATACCTGCAGCTCATTTGTTTATATCCATGACTATGTCCTTGTCTGCCACTAGGTAGCATTATAGCTGCTCTTGTAGTTGATGTGTGCCGTCAAGTCAAAACTGACCCATAGCTGACCCTCCGGTGGGTTTTCAGAGGCAGTTTATCTTTTGGGAAGAAATTATCCATCTTTCTCCCATGGAGCAGCTGATGGATTCGAACTGCATGCCTTCGGGATTGCAGCATAACTTCTTGCCAATAAGCAACCTTTGGCTAGACATCCAAGCATTGAGGCCACTGGCCATATAATGCAGTCTCCTGTTTAATGTTGTTGTTGTGTACCATTGGGTTGGAACTGACTCATAACTTACCCTCTGGCAGGCTTTCAGAGACACTAAATCACACAGAAGATATTGTCCATCTTCCTCAGGCAGAGCAGCTGGTGAATTCGAGCCAATTGCCTTTAGATTGGCAGCCAACTCCTTACCACTAAGCCACCAGATCCCCCTTCCTGCTTAATATTAACCCTTAACCTAGTGTATCTGCTTTTCTTCTTTAAAAATGTCATCTTTATGCATACTCCTGTTCGTGTCAGCCCCTCTATTGATGTTCAGCGTCTCGTAGCTCCAGGTTATTAAGTGAATTAGCTGTAGTTTCAGTGACCTGGCTGGCAGGCCAGAAGGTCAGAAGGCCTGAGCACTGTGCATTAGGCCTTGCCCTGCGATCCTTTGGTCATTTGTTCAGACAGTCTGTCCTCATGCCTCCATTAATTTAGTCCAAACTGCTTTGTGCTGCAGAGTCAGGCAATGTGCTAATGTCATGTATGGACATTAAAGAGCCATTCATTCTTTCCTCGACAGTTCAAACTCCAGATCCCTCTGCCAGGCTCAACAAAGGGAAGAGAAATTGTACTTGCTCCATCTCTGGTCTAGCTTTGGATTGTGGATTTCCTTGCTAGCCTTCTCCCATTTTTTATCTTAAAGTGTGTGGATAGAAAAAGATAAAGTGATGATGGGTGAATTAAGGAAGAAGATCCCTTTCCTTCTCCTAAGACCAGAATTAACCATAATTTGCAGAACGATTCTAGCACAAGCTCAGGAGTACCAGTGCTGCAGTGTGTTCTCCCAATATGTCAAGTATTAAGGAATGTGCTGTTTATATAGCTGTTCATATACTTTTCTCACTTTTGCCATAATCTCGAGAAGTTCCTGAGTGGTGCAAATGGTTACGTACTTTGGTTTTCAACAGAGGCTGGCAATTTGAGTCCACCTGGAAGTGCCTTGAAAGACAGACCTATAATCTTCTGGAAAAAAACTACCTGCTTTTTAAAAGCACATCCTGCTTCACAGTTGACTTGATGGCAGCAGCGACGGGTTCTGGCGATGCTGTTTTTGTGGGAGGCTCAGTCAGAACATACTCATTGCAAGATTTCAGAGGCTTTAAACCACATCAGAGGAGATTGCCCATCTTTCTTCCTTGGAACAGCTGATATATTCAAACCATGTGCCTTAGGGTTGGCAGCTCAACTTTACTGGGCCACTAAAGCTCCCTGGTTCCAGTTATATTTTTATCCATATGTCTGTACATTTGAACTATAGAATCAATACAAAAGGAAAAAATGGAAATGTGCTTCATATTTAAAACCAAGGCCAAATGTGGATTCTGACTTTTAAGCTGAGTTGATGCCTCTTCTGTAAACTCTTGATGTTACTGGCTTTGAGGGCTCTGATTGATCAGGTGAGCTGGCTAACACGCGATGTTTGTAGTCCCACCCACTCTTTCAAGATTCACACCTAAGATATGCACACTATGGCTGGAAGAAGAGTGTCAGCTTTGCCATTTCAGAAAGCACAGCGTCAGTGTTCCAGAGTCACTGTGGCACCTGGGAGGTGCCTTTGCCTCTAACCACTGTCTGTTTTCTTGCCAGGGAAGAGTGATCCTTTCTGCTTGTTGGAAGTAGGCAATGATCGACTGCAGACACACACCATTTACAAGAACCTCAACCCTGAGTGGAACAAAGTGTTTACGTTGTAAGTGCTTTAGCCTCTGGACTATTAAAGAGAGGCTTTTAGTCCTTATCTGTTTGGTGTAGATGGGAGATCTAGAGTGGAACTTCCTGTCTGTTTTTATGGACAAAGAGTCAATTTTATTGTTTTCTTCTTCTGAAAACCTTTTCCCCCTTTCATCTTATAGAGTGGAGTGTTAATAATAGAAGAGACCATTCTGAACTGTAAGGGAATGCTACAGGAGATGTTTATAAAGAGGTCTTTTAGTGGCTAAATTAACCTGCAATGAGACAGAGGCCTCCATGGATCAGAGCTAATTCAGTCCTGAAAGTTACAAATGGAAGGCCTGCCTTAAAGGCAAGCTTATTTGTCAGAATGTTATTTTAATGGCCAAAGGTTTGGATCTTCCAGAATCGTTAGGAAAATATAGTTGATCTGTACATTCTAAAAGACTCCCACAGGCCCCTACTATTTGAATGGCCTGCTGAGTAAGGATGCCCTGCCCATTCCTTCAAAATCTGTCATGTACGAGGTGCTGTGTATGTTTATGTTTCCTGGCTGGCTTTTTGAGTCCCTGACCAAGACAGTTAACCCTGCTCAGCTACTGTCTGAAAGGTTGATAGTTCATGCATCTTCAGAAGTCTGTCCAAAGTAAGCCCACTGTCCAATTCAGAAACTTCACAGTTGAAAACCCTATGAAGCATAGTTACACTTTAACACAACAGGGTCACCCTCAGTCAGGGTCTTCATGCCAACTTTGGGGCAGGATGGGATTCTGAATCACTTGACCGTCCAAGGAAGGCTCAGTGTTGAACTTGGCTGAAATAAGACAGATACATTTACATATACATATACATATACATATACATATACATATACATATACATATACGTAGTCTCACCATGGAAGTAAGTGAGTGAAACTGAAGAAATTCTCTCTGCTTGTCAATGAGAGAGTAAAGTTCATCTTGAAAAGATATGATGGCATTAGGAGAAAATTCACAAGCATATGCAAGGACTTATTTTGCACTGCTAACATTTGAAAATTGACAGTGGCAAGAGTTTCTTATCTGACTAACAAAATGTTTCAGTCTGACTGATTTCTGGCTCCTGGGCAGTATAAACTGTTTCAAAATTGAACACCATTTTATGTTTCATTAGTAAGAGGCTTTCCAAGTGGTAGCCGGAGAGTTGCTCTGCTCTCCGAGGCCAAGTGTCTGTAACAGTCCCAGTCCACCAGCAGCTCAGCGGAGGAAGGTGGGCCATCTCCTCCCATCGAGACTTACACCCTTGGGAACCAGATGGAGGACTGTTATAGATAAGAACAGACTTCATGGACATGATTTTGAAATTGCATTTGAAGTAGATCACCAAATAATAATTTTGACAATTTTTCCCCATCTAAAAGGAAATTTTTATTAATTTAAAGTTTAAAAAACATTATTTAAGCTATTCTAATCTAGAAACTGCTTTGTGGTAGCTTCCTTGATGCCCTTCTCATCCCATCTCTCCCCGTTTTTTTTCTTTTTCCTATTTCTTTATCAGCCATACCCCTGAGTGCATGTAAACATGGAAAATGTCACAATGAAAAAGTTGACTTTTTTTTTCTTCTTCATATGGCTGTTTGAATCTTCAATGATGGAAGGTTTGGGAATACAGTCAGTTTGATTTAATTTTTGGAATTTAATTAAATGGTAGTTTTATACCCTAAGGACATACTGACTTAATTAGTGAAACCATGTTTTCAGATCTTCCTGGAACAGAGTTCATTTGTGTGTTTTTGTGTATAATACGCAGTGTTTTTCTTGTTTCAGTCCCATTAAAGATATCCACGATGTTTTGGAAGTGACAGTGTTTGATGAAGATGGAGATAAACCCCCCGATTTTCTTGGAAAAGTTGCCATTCCCTTGCTGTCTGTAAGTTTACCTTTGTGAATAAACAGTCTGTGAGTCATTTTACAGATGACGAGCTCCTGGGGTCCAGAGATGCTTTATCTTCGTCAGTCTAGATGAAAAAATAAATCCTTCCTGCTCTTGAGGGAAGCCCCTGTTTTATTTCATATTCCTTTTCAGTGCATTCAAAGAGCCCTGGTGATGCAGTGTTTGAGCGGTGGGCTGCTGAAAAGAGATTGATTGACCCTTCACACCCACCAGTTGCTCCACTAGGGAAAATGTGACGGTCAGCTTCCATAAAAATGTGCAGCCTCTCCACCCCTGTGCAGTAGTTTTGTTCCTTCCTTTAGGGTTGCTATGAGTTTAAATCAACTCAATGTTGTTGTTGTTGTTATGTGCCATCGAGTCGTTTCCGACTCATAGCGATCCTATGCACAACAGCTCTAAACCCTGCTCTATCCTGCGCCAACCGCACCGCCTCTGACACACCCATCCCGATTACCCCAGTCACCGAATCAATCCATCTCATAGAGGGTCTTCCCCTCCTGCGCTGTCCCTCCACCCTCCCAAGCATGATGTCCCTCTCCAAGGACCCATCCGTCCTGGCAACATGTCCAAAGTATGTCAGACGAAGCCCCAGAATCCTTGCCTCCAAGGAGCAGCTTGGTTTAATCCTCTCCAAGATGGATCTGTTTGTTTTCCTGGCAGTCCATGGTACATTCAGTACCCTTCTCCAGCACCACAGCTCAAAAGCATCCACTCTCCTTCTGTCCTCCCTAGTCATTGTCCAACTCTCTGATGCATAACAAGCGATTGCAAATACCATGATCTGTATCAGGCGCACCTTAGTCTCCAGAGAGACACTGTTGCTCCTGAGTACCTTTGAGAGTTCTCTAACGGCAGACTTTCCCATCGCGATACGCTTTTTGATTTCCTGACTGCTGGTACCAAGAGTGTTAACTGTGGAGCCGAGCAAAGTGAAGCTGTGAACACTCTCAATCTCTTTGTCATCCATCCTGACGCTGCCAATTGGTCCAGTGGCGAGAATCTTTGTCTTCTTGACGTTGAGCCTTAGTCAATACTGAAGGCTGCAGTCCTTGACCCTTCGCAGCAAGTGCTTGAGGTCCTCCTCAGTTTCAGCAAGCAAGGTTGTGTCATCTGCATAATGGAGATTGTTAATAGACCTTCCACCAATCCTGATGCCACAATTCTCCTCATTGAGCCCAGCCTCTCAGATAATCTGCTCTGCATACATGTTGAAAAGGTATGGAGACAGGATGCATCCCTGGCGTACACCCTTCCCTATTTTGAACCATGCAGTGTTACCCTGCTCTGTTCTGACTACTCCCTCTTGGTCCAAGTATAGGTTTTGTATTAGCACAATTAAATGTTCTGGGATTCCCATTCTTCTCAGAGTCAGCCACAGTTTGTTATGATCCACACAGTCAAATGCCTTTGCATAGTCAATGAAACACAGATAGACATTCTTTTGGTATTCCCTGCTTTCAGCCAAGATCCATCTAACATCAGCAACGATATCCCTAGTACCACGACCCCTTCTAAACCCAGCCTGGACTTCCGGCAGTTCTCTGCTGATGTGCTGTTCTAATCGTTTTTGGATGATCTTCAGCAGAATCTTGCTTGCATGTGCAATCAGTGACACTGTTCTGTAGTTTCCACACTCAGTTGGGTCACCTTTCTTTGGAATGGGAACAAATATAGATCTCTTCCAGTCAGTTGGCCAAGTGGTTGTTGGGAATGTGTTTATTCAGTATTTGCAGTATTTTCAAGTATAAAATGACATAATTTTCTCTGTGTCAGATATTTTTTTAACTTTTGTTAATTACTGGTTTTTTCCCTTCATATATATTGTGTTTCATGCATGTACATTGTGTTCCATACAGTCCTTCATTTACATTGTACTTTGTTCATTTATATTGTGGAGGCTTTTTCTTCTCTTACAGTCATCCCACCAACAATTACTTTCATGAAAGCATGTAAGCCAGCCGTTTTTTGCCCAGTAGCCCTATTTTGATAGCCAGTTGCTGATTTGTCCACCTCTATCAAACCAGTACTCTGAGTTGGTAGTTAATTGTATGAAGTACAGTGTCTTTGAGGGATTGTGTGGGGCACAGTGTACATGGATAAAGTGCAGTGAATAAGGGTGATTATATGCAAAGAAATTTTTTAAAAAGTGGAGGAGGATAAAAGAATATTACATAAATGAGCACTGGATATTGTTGTTGTTGTTGCTGGTATGTGCCGTTGAGTCGCTTGCAACTCATAGCGACCCTATGTACAACAGCCCTAAACTCTGCTCTGTCCTGTGCCAATCGCACTGTCTCCGATACATCCATCCCGATTACCCCAGTCACTCAATCAATCCACCTCACAGAGGGCCTTCCCCTCCTGCGCTGTCCCTCCTCCCTACCAAGCATGATGTCCCTCTCCAAGGACCAGTCCCTGCTTACAACATGTCCAAAGTATGTTAGACGAAGCCTCAGAATCCTTGTCTCCAAGGAGCCTCCTGGTTTAACCCCCTCAAGGATGATCTGTTTGTTTTCTTAGCCGTCCATGGTACCTTCAGTACTCTTCTTCAGCACCACAGCTCAAAGGCATCAATTCTCCTTGTATCCTCCCTAGTCATTGTCCAACTCTCTGATGCATAACTAGTGACCATGGCCTGTATCAGATGCACCTTGGTCTCCAGAGAGACACCATTGCTCTTCAGCACTTTGGAAATATCCCTAATAGCAGACTTCCTCATCACAATACATCTTTTAATTTCCTGGCTATTGCTGCCAAGAGTGTTGACTGTGGAGCCAAGCAAGCTAAAGCTGTGAACAATCTCAATCTCTTCACCATCAATCCTGATGCTGCCAGTTGGTCCAGTGGTGAGAATCTTTGTCTTGGTGACATTGAGCCTCAATCCATATTGAAGGCTATAGTCCTTGACCCTCTGCAGCAAGTGCTTCAGGTCCTCCTCAATTTCAGCAAGCAGGGTTGTGTCATCTGCACAATGCAGATTGTTGAGAGATCTTCTACCAATCCTGATGCCGCATTTCTCCTCATAGAGCCCAGCCTCCCGGATAATCTGTTCTGCGTACAGGTTGAAAAGGTACGGAGACAGGACATACCCTGGCATACATTCTTCCCAATTTTGAGCCATGCAGTGTATAAATGAATAAATTTTATTTAATACAATTTGTCATATAGTCATTATGGGCCTTATTGAGCAATGAGGCTTTGCATATTTCTTCCCAAAGATACAGTTTATAGAAGCCATTTGAGTGTTTTTGTAGTTGGAGCAATCTGTAGTTTAACCAAAGCATAGCTCCACTCACATGTTGTTTACAGAGGGGGAAAAATACCTTTCTTTAAATATCTTTTTTTTAGTCTTAAAGTATCTTTTTGTTGTTGTTCTGATTGCTGTGTTAATTTCTCCCATTCTTGGGGAGCTCTGGTGGCCTAGTGGCAAGAAACTGCACTGCAATTCCAGAGATATGCAGTTCAAATCCACCAGATGCTCTGCCGGAGAAGGAGGGGCAATCTCCTCCTGTACCAGTCAGATCCAATTTGACGGTACACACACACACACACACACACACATAAATAAAAAATAAAAATAAAAAAATTTAAAAATTTCTCCCATTCTTCTCATATCCCTGCTGCTGCTCACAGAGGGGGGCAAAAGTCCCTGGTCCAGGAGATTCCAGCCAGATGCTCCAAACCATCAGCGAGGGTACACTGGCTGTCAGAGAGGACCTGATCATCTGGGATTTCTCTCCATTTTCCTTGTAGTCTTGTCAGTTATCCCGTATAGACTACATGCAATAGAAATGTGATGCTCATTTTTTGAGCCTTCTAAGGATACACAATACAACCAACCAAAAGACTAAAAGCAAAATGTCTCCCTTGTTTTTTAGCCCCTGCCTCTCTTTCTCTGTCTCCAACTTCACCTTGTGCCATTTCTCATCATACTTTTTATAGATACATCCTTTATTAACTTTCTCTTCGGTGGGTGAACACTACAGTACTTTTGGTATTTTTATGAAACCTTCTTCTGCATTGTGTATAAATGTTCAATGTCTTTTGTCTTTCTGTATATCACATATATACCTATATGGGCCATCTTTCTTTATTTCTGTCTGGCTTTCCTTCTTTATAATGTGGAGTATATTTAAGTTAGATTTAAGAAATTACCTACAGCTCAGTCAGGCTTTCTCAATGACACTGTTGACATCTTTGGAGACATTCTCTGTTTAAGTACCTTCCCTGTGATTTGTAGGATGTCATGCATAATCTATCCACCAGATTCCAGTATCAATCCTCCACCACCACTTACAAGACAAGCAAGGATGTTTCCAGGCAAGAGTATATTGACTTTTGGAGCAAAATCACTGCCAGTAGAAAGAATCACAATATTAAATTAATACTTAACCTTGGGACTTCTTTTGGAATACAAAATGTAATGATTTGGAACAAGCTTAGATTAAGTGCAAGCTAAGGTGGCTTAATAATAAGGGCTTCCTCTGCCAACCCAAAGGAAGGCAGTATCACCTTCTCCATGGAAGATAGGTTATCTCCTCTCATGTGAGTCACCGCCTCTGAAAACCCACTGGACATAGCAACAGCAGCAACTATATTTAGATAGGGGATTGGAATGCAAAAGTTTAGAATGAAGAAAGATAAGTAGTTAGAAACTATGGCATAGGTGATAGAAATTATGTTGAAGATCACATAAAATGTGTTGAACTAATAATTTATTCATTGCAAATGTTGTGTTGTTGTTGTTGTTGTTGTTTTGTACCATTGAGTCAGAACTGACTCATAACTGATCCTCCAGCAGGTTTTCAGAGGCAGTTAATTGCATGAGAAGAAAGTGTCCTTCCTTCTCCCACAGAGCAGCTAGTGGCTTCAAACTATGTGCCTTTGGGATTGCAGCACAGCTTCTTGCCACTAGGCCACCAGAGCTCCCTGTACTGCAAATACATTTTCAAAACAATGTAAACAGCAGTTATGCA